AAAGAAAATTGGCCAAAAAAAAATCGGCATCATATATCGGCCATCGGCTGCTCTGATTTCTAAATATCGGCATCGGCATCGGCCAGAGAAAAACCCATATCGGTCGACCTCTAGTGTAGACCACTAAAATTCCCAAATTGTTAGAACAGCACCAACCTCATCACTGCTAAATTCAACACGGCTGTTTTGCCAAAAATAAATAAATAAAATAAAAAACGGTTATTTTCTATAAGGGAATGTAAAGGCAGTTTATAAACTATGAAAGGTAAATATTGTATTGGGTAAGTTGATGTCCTGCTGTGGGACATTATTCTCATTAAAAAAAATTTTTTTTTATAATTATTATTATACATTCAATTTTATGACTATATGAAGAGAAAATATGGAATATTTAAACTTTTAAAAAATTGAACACAAAATTCAATTTGAACAAAAAAGGTGATAGAAAATACGTAAAAACTGTACACGTAATATTCTTCCTTAATCATGCATAACTTACTCCGATTCTGGAATCCAATTCAATTGCTATTCAGAATTTTTATTTCTCTTTTCAAGTGTATTTTTGAAATTTTCATAATAAATTGAGCAACCGTGTGGTTACACTATCTGTACACACTATCCAGTCGACATTGTGCAATGCACTTAACCATCACACACAAGACCATCAATGCCAGTAGTCAGGCAGGTTCCCCACTTCTCTTACTCACTGTGACTAAGTGTCCCTCCCCATCCTGCAAACTCAGCACAGAGGACATAAAAACAGATGTGTTTGGAATCACTGTGGAAAGCGAGAGACGGAAATGAATGATTATGAAACACCAGACAAAAAAGGAAGTGAAACTTGCTTTCCTCCATCAACCTTCCTTATACTTCATGAGTCAATTCCACACATCCAAACACATGGAACCACATAGGCTGACTATCAGTTTGACCAGTGAGATGACTAGAAAAAACTGCAAAGATAGCAAAAAAAAAAAAGACAGAACTGTTACTTAGAAAACCATTTCAAAGACGTACAACACTTGCATAGACAAAATACTTAATATTTGTATAAATAAAACCCTACATATTCTTAAACACAAAAATGAAACCTAGGTAGGCTACTATGAGTTTTTAGGACTTTACTGGACTGACAATTAGCTATTTATATTTTTTTGTATTCATATTTTATAACTCCTTGCATATAAGAGTTCATATTTTCTGTATTTTCTCTTGCCATGAAGATTGGAGTTGTTGCTGGGCTTTGGGATGTGCTCAGCTTCTCAAATAAGGAAAAATACATCTACAAGCAGAGAGTTGATGAAGTAGAACTCCAGCCCCCGCTACCACAACACCTGCTCTCAAGAATGTATGTACACCACTTGCATCCAGGAACTTTTGTGTGAAGGTAAAATTATGGCAATGACCATGATGATATTCCTTATGATCTTCATTATATATTCATTCGTTATCAAAGCACATTTGAACTGCGATTATTTAGGCAATAACACTTGCAATCACGCTGTGCAATCCACGAGGCCCCAGATAATCACAACCATGATAATAGTATAGTCTGTACAATAACAAGATTGTGAGTGCGATTTTGTTTTTTAAACATTTGAGCAATTTACGTATCAAACCAAATCCGACCAGTTGTGCATTTCGAGAATCCACGTCATCATGGAGCGAGAGAAAACAAACAAAAAAAAGGCTTTTGAAACTCGTTCAATTGCTGCAGACAACATGCACTTCCGTTAGCGAAAAAGAAATCCCGAGTTTTGAATGTGAGGTTACAGTCTAATAATAAATAAATAAATACGCGTAAGATACTGATAAACAACGCCACAAACAAATACACATGGCGACAAGTGCCATCCGATCACGACCAAATGACTCTTATGAGTTGGCTCATTTAATGAATCGTTCAAAAAGATTACTTTTTTGTTACAGAAGTTACTGTTTTGAATCAGACGATACTTCATTCAGTCCGTTATAGGGTAGTCATACTTTCATCAGAAATGCCAGTAAGTCTCCAGGATGCATAGCCTACTGTAAATGGTATTACTGCATGTGATACATTACTATCAGTTATTGTTACACATTTCTTGCGGTTCTACTCTCAGAATTGACGGCAATCATATTTTGGTTTGCATTGAGACACAGTTCTCAAGTTCACACAGGCGATACACTGATGAGCATCATGAGTAAACAGAATTATAATGTCCTCTGCCAGAACAGAGACGAAAACCCCATGTAGTCAGGAGACATGAGAAAAAAAATCTAAATTTGGAAAGTGTGTTTGTGCCATATTTCTTTTAAAAAAATACCATGTGATTTAATATTTTACAATAAAATGCAAAAAAAATCTTTAATACATTTTAAGTATAGCTTAAGTGTCCATATTTCTCACAATGTTTTCTTCTGTAAATTAATATCTTTGTGTCAGATCTTTCTGTGTATGTAGCAGATGTGGGGCTGTTGAGGGAACTGTTTTTTCTGCCAGTTTATAAAGCATGGGATTTGGGAGGCACCATTTCAGGAGGGCCTGTGGCTCTCCGATGGGCCAGCAGTTAATCAGTGATGTGTTGTTCCTATAGGCATCTGGCAACTGGTTCTCATGAGGCAGAAAGATAGTGACGTCATAACAATGGGTAAGTATAAATGTATGCAAAATGAACTAAAATACAAAAGGGTGATTGGAGGCAAATCTGTGAAAAATGATTTGTAATTATTTAATTATTTATCATTTAATTATTGAATAAACGTATTGATATAATTTTATATTTCTAAATAGAATTATTATTTATAAAGTAACAGGTGCGGGTCACAGACAGTACAGTAATAGTTTTAACAGTATCTAACAGTATTAGGGCTGGCATGACCTTAACATATTTTCTTATGTGTTAAATTGCTGTCACCACAAGTTTTTACACAGGATGTCCAGGAACATGAGTACAAGGCATAACAGGAAATTGCATTCAGATCATAAATTTTAAGTGTAATTCAGTTTTGTTGTACAGCTATTGTTGTGTATGCTGACAGGGCAGAACCATTGCTGGGAAGAGGGAATGTCTCAGTGATTTAGGAGGTGACAGTGACTATAGGACAGGTTTGACTTCTTCCGGATGGTCTGGCATGAACAAACATCGTGTAGTACCAAAATGATCTGTGTTACTCAAATACCCAAACCAAAACACTTATTCACACCAAAATTCACAAAACAAGCTGACTAAGACCATATTTTCGATAATTGAGAAGACACCTCATTCTTTCCAAAGGAGCCGTGTGACGTTAGTGTTTCAACAGTTTTGAAGAAAAAGACATGTGACAGGATGTGCTTCTGATTGGAGCAATCGAACCAGTTTAAAGGGCAGGTCTGCATGAGCGAATGTGAGACTGCAGAATCTCAGCCAAAGACAGAGGATGACACTGGAATGAACCTAGGAGCAGCGCAAAATATATTTTGGATCAAGATGAAAATAATAGTAACAGTAGTTATATTACTCATATTACATCTATCAAACTGCTTTGCACAGTCAGGTATGTCTTTTTTTTCTTTAATCAAACTGAAAAAATGAATGACAATAATAATCATACTTTTTGTTGTAGCAAATAGTATTATTTATTGTGAAAAAAAGAATTATGATATAGTACATTGTATCTGTGTGTAAATAACTGAATGCTGCATCATCTCACCAAATTTTTGTGCAGGAGGAAACTTTCTAATATATAATGTGGATTATAACAAATGCATGACCAGCTCCCTGGAACGGCTTGCCAACTGTGACCCATACAGTAACTCACAACAGTTTCGCTGGACTTCAAAGAATCGCATTTTGAACACGTTCACAAAGAAATGCCTTGGAGTAGGAAGTAAAACAGTGGGCAAAAAACTGCAGTGGCTGATTTGTGAAGATGACAATGTTCTGCAGAAGTGGGAATGCCACAGTGATACATTGCTTGTCCTAAAGAACGAGTCTCTGTATCTGGCTGTTAATGATAATGGTGTGCCAGTGATCTCAAAAGACACTGGAACGAAGAGCAAATGGACAATTCAAGGAAAATTAAACAGCATTTGCTCCAAGCCTTATGAAGGTATGTGTCTATTGAACTTATTGTCAAAGTGACAATGCAGGGTTTTTTTTTCTCATTCTATGAAAATGTCTGTTATTCAATCAGGAAGTAAAAAACAACAGTTATTTCACTGCATAATGGTGAAACAAAACATTGATTCCAAACCGTTTTTGTCCTCATTAGTAAGTCTCTAGAATATGCTTACCCTAACTAATATTATGCTCATTAATTTTATTCAAATGCCCATTATAATGAATTTTAAACAATTATAAATCCAAACTCTGGGTGAAGTCTCAAGTTGCTTCTCCCTTTAATGAGACGGCTAAGCTTGTTTGTCTTTCACAAGTTTTTCAACAGATCAGTGGCCATTGCGTAAACAGCTTAGACTAGTCTTACAAGTTAGTCATCTGTTTTTTTTTCTTCAAGACTGGTCATAAATTTTTTTCCAAGTCGGTTGCATAAAAACATAGATTTGAATCTGAATAGTTAGACCGATTATTCCTTGGCTTAGGAAGTCTGAATAGTGGTTATGTTTATGTGTAACTGGCCCCTGGATGCAATCACAAAAAAAAGACCTAACACTGATTTAATTGATTAAAAATCAGTTCATCAGTTCTGTTTTACAGGCTTTAAAAAACAAAATCAAATCATGCCCAAGCACCCTTGAAACCTGTGTACAGTAGCTGCAGGTGTACTGCTACACGTCTCTTTAAAATAGTTTATTCTGGTTAATCAATTGCTGCATCCATATTTGGATATTTCCTAATATTTGCAAATCCCTTTCTCACAGTGTCAGGTAGCCAGGAACTGGTTTGTTGTTATATACTACCCTTGAAACCAACGCAACTGATTTATTATATCAATTTTTGCATAGAAAGTGATTTCCAACACCTGTACTATTTAATATTTAACTGGATGATTAAATTAATATTTTATAATTTTATTGCAAATGTAAATGTGTATTTAATTTTATTACAAATGTAATGCTTTTGTGCATAATCTGATAATTTCACAAGCACTATAAATGATGGTTCAAATAACTGATCTACAAACTCTACATCTTAATTTACAGAATTGTATACCATTGATGGAAATGCATTTGGGCGCCCATGTCAGTTTCCTTTTCTTTATGAGAAAAAATGGTATGCAGATTGTACCAAAACTGATGAACACAATCAACGTCTATGGTGTTCTGTTGAGACAGACTACAGTGTTAATCAGCTGTGGGGCTACTGCCCAACACGTGACAGTAGGTTTTTTTCTCGTTCACTTTATATTTCAAATGTTGCCTGCATGATAAATATTAAATCTTTGAGACTGCAATTGTTAATTGTCCATCAATGAAGGCTAAACTAATAACATATATTCCAACAATGAAACATTGGCTTGCACATATTGATGAGTAGTGATGATTTGCAGATGCATTCTGGGCCAAACATCCTCTGACAAACGTCTATTACCAAGTGAATAGTAGGTCAGCCCTGACATGGTACCAGGCTAGAAAGAGCTGCCAGCAGCAAGGTGGAGAGCTGCTGAGTGTCTCTGAACCTCACGAACACACCTTTGTAGCAGGTACAGTCCCATCAAAGAGATTCTCTGAATGAAACTGTTCATCATTACATGCACTAATGTAATATTGATAGATGTCTAGAAATATCCAAAGAATAAAACATTAAGAAAACTGTCTTATCTAGGAATTGTTCAGACGACTCAAAGTGCACTATGGACAGGACTGAATAAATTAGATGTAACCAGTGGATGGCAATGGAGCAATGGACAGCCGTTACGTTATCTGAAATGGCTCAGTGGTAAGACCATCTTTCAGTCAAAGGATTCAGTCTCATTGAATTAATGTAGCTCAACTGGAAGAGCACAATACAACAACACTAGTTTGATTCCCAGGGAGCAAACAAACAGATAAAAAGAAATATGTACTTCAATAAATGTAAATGCAGCATGAATTGAGAGACCTTCATTTTGCCTTTATTCACCATATCCTAGATGCTGTGGCCTGTATTGAATAGCTAAATGAACAAACAAAATCAACATTCACTAGCTACTTGACTGAAATGATAATTTCTCTCTTTGTTGAAGGATACCCAACCACACAACCAGGCTACAGTTGTGGAGTCCTGAAAAATGCTTTTGGTTCTGAATGGTCAAATGAACCTTGTTCTGAAAAACATGGATATATCTGCCAAAGAGGCCATTCTGTTCCTACTCTTCCACCAGGTAGGCTTCCCAGTCACTCTTTCTTTCGTATAGCAGCGGTTCTCAAACTGTGGGACTGGAATTAGTGAGTCAAGCGTTGTCCGAAAAAAAAAGAAAGAAAAACCTATAGCGTTATTTGAGTCAGATCTTTTAATGATTCAGTCTTGAATCAGTCTATATGAGTTGTTCTTATACATTTGACTCACTTATTGAACTGCATGTCAGTGCATTATTAACCTACTTCAATATGGGCTATAATAATTTGTTTAGGAATATATATATATATATATATTTTTTTTTTTTATGCTTTTATGTCTCATATTACACTCTAAAATGTATGGTCTTAAGTTTGATTACACCTCTTGAGGTGGGTACTAGCACCAAAAAGTTTAGGAACCTCTACCACACTGTATATGGTGTTGGTAATGTGTTATCCTTGTCTTTTTGGACAGTGGTGGACACTGGCTTTTGCCATAGCCCCTGGATTCCATATTCAAGCAACTGTTATCTCCTTCATCGCACCAAGCAAACATGGCTGGAGGCGCGAGACTCCTGTCTGCGGGAAGGAGGAGACCTGCTGAGTATTCTTAGCAAAGAAGAGCAAAGCTTTGTCATCACACAGCTTGGATACTGTACGTTTTGATGATCAGAATACATTTTTAACAGTGCTGTTGCAAGAAAAGGTATGGAATTCACCCCTATATGAGGTTGTTAGTCGATCATCTACATCTCTGTTTTCAGTGAAAACAGACGAGCTGTGGATTGGTTTCAATGACCGTAAAACACAGATGCTGTTTGAGTGGAGTGACCAATCTAGCATTCCCTTTGCCTCATGGGAGGTGAGTGAGCCGAGTCACAGTGCTGTCCATGCAGAGGACTGCGTGTTGATGAGAGGAGAGGTAAGAACTTTGTATGTAAGAAGTAAGAAGCGTTTACTAAAAACGTTTTGCACATTATTTGAGAAGTAATCTTAAATTCTAGTTGTCTTCCTCATAGCATTATTAATGACTGTTTCACATTTAGGAGGGAAAGTGGGCTGATGATATTTGTGAAAATAAGTATGGATTCATCTGTAAGAAGGTGGCCAGCTCTAAAGCCTCGAATAATGATACAGTTGTAACAAGCCCGGGATGCAAAACAGTACGTATTTGTGTGATTAGAAAAAGACCTAATGTCTTGTACTTATTGTTCTTGGTCATCAGGTGGTGAAATGTATTTACTGACAGCTCTCTTATTTTTTGAAAAGGGTTGGACCAGGTATGGGTACTACTGCTACAGGGCAGGATCCGAGACTAAGACCTTTGAAGAAGCAAAACAGATGTGTGAAAAAGCTGATTCTCAACTGGTAGATATTTCATCCAGGTCAGATCACTTCTTCAGTTACATGCTTTCTGTCCTTTCTAGCCAACATCTGACACTGAACTCCTACTAACCTTAAAGCAATTGAAATAAAACTTTTCAAAATGTATATGTAAAATATTTTATATTTAAAAGGTATGAACAGCTTTCAGTGTTATTTTCTGCCTTTCAAAAGGCTTAATCTGTTTGTTTTCCCCCATTAGAGTAGAAAATGCATTCCTCGTTAGTGTAGTTGGAGCGCGACCAGAGAAGTACTTCTGGATTGGGTTGTCTAATCAGAAGGATCTGCACACTTTTGAATGGACCAACACTAAGCAAGTCTCATTTACTCATTTCAACGCTGGGATGCCAGGTACTGTACTCAATGTCAATTAAATTATTATGTTTCTGACTTTTCATAATTACAGTACTACATTTTAAAGTGTCTTTTTCTTAAAAAAAAAAAAAAAATTCAGGAAGAAAACAAGGCTGTGTTGCCATGACGACTGGAATTGTTGCTGGGCTTTGGGATGTGATCAGCTGCTCAAATAAGGAAAAATACATCTGCAAGCAGAAAGCTGATGGACTAGTTACAACTTCGGCCCCACCAACCACACCTGCTTTAAGCTGTCCCGGAGACTGGATGCAACTTGTGTCTAAAGAGTTTTGTGTCAAGGTAAAATGGGCTTTTAAAGCTATTTTCATGTTGAGTTTTGGGTAAATTTGTTATTTAAAACAAAATAAAAGAGATTGTAGAACGTCTCCTAACACATTACACTGTCTCTTTCTGGCAGTATTTTAATGTACCTATGAGCCAAATGAAGACTTGGGATGAAGCTCTTGACTTCTGCCGAGAGCTTGGCGGTGATCTCCTGAGCATCCATCATGAGGCTGATATTCCTTGGAAACAAGGAGGGTAATATCTATCATTCCTTTTGCATAATGACAGCTGATGAATGTCCAGCTAATGGACAAACATGTTTCACTGGTATGACAATACCACATGATCAATAACAGACTCTATTTCATGTGTTTCAGTCACATGACTCTTCAGCCATCTGACCATCATAATCCACAATAATTACCCACAATTAAGCCACAATCCATATCCATACATTTGCATATACATGTCAATGAATGCTATATTTGGCTGAGTCTCAGTGTTCTTGTGTTTTTGTATTCCTTGATAAACTGTGATAAATATGGTGGATGAGCAAAAAAGTCACATGACTGAAAAAGATGAATGCATAAATTAATGATTAAAAAAGAAAGAAAGAAAGATAGAAAGAAACTATGTGGTTTTGCTTGTAGAGTGTATCCAGCATGGATTGGTTACAGAATGTACGATCCCTCTGTGGGTTTTGTTTGGAGTGATGGTTCTTCGGTGAGTTCACAAAGAGTTTGTTAAAAGAAAATAAATACTAAATAGAATTCACATTGGATGTCATTTAGGTTTTTCAAAATCTACTCTATTTTAGTCATCCTATCAAAGCTGGGCTAGTGATGAACCAAACAATTTGAACAACATTGAAAATTGCGTTGAAATGAGAATTTCAATTTGGGACAATGATGGAGGGTGGAATGACGTAAACTGTCAAGACAGAAAGGACTGGTACTGTCAAATCCGAAAAGGTACATTTCAATCTGGCAAACGTCTAATTCTACCATCACTGGTTCAAAAGGAAAGTACTATTTTTCATTTTTAATTGAACACATGACAGCTAACTGCTTTGCTTTGTCTTTAGGAAAGATACCAAATGAATTAAATATTACAGATCCAGGTAAGTCTTATAATTGCACAAACACATTTTTTTGTCACTAAAGGGGTAAAAGAGGAACTCGAATTCAAACATTTATTTCTTTTTATTTAAGTTTATAATGAAACAGAGGATGGCTGGATTCAATTCCAAGGTAGCCAGTACTATGTGTCTCAGTACTCATCACTTTCTATGCACGACGCTCGGACATTCTGTAAGAAATCACATGGCGATCTTGTGGTTATCAGTGATGAGGATGAGCGGGTGTTCATTTGGCATCAGGTACGAGGGCTGAGTTACATTTTCTAGCAGCATATTTGTGGTCCATATATCACACAAAATGCATCTTTGCATCATTTGTTATTTTGAATATGTTTTATATTGCATTTAATTTGCTGACTCAGTGTAGTGCTTTTTTCTGTGTGCTGCAGGCTAAGGATTCGCACAATGATTTTATCATTGGTTTGACAGTTGATCTGGATGGGACTTACCAGTAAGTTTAAAGAATGCAAGCAGCATTCTATGTTCCCTTACAAAAGGACAAATAAACAAATACATTTTTTTTAATCTATAAAGGTGGATGGATGGGTCCCCTGTAGTATTTCAAGCTTGGGAAGCAAATCAGCCTGCTTTTAAAAACAGTGAGGAAAGATGTGTGAAGATAACCACATCTCAAGGTACATCATATCTTCTGATCTGTGAATATGGTGGATACTGTATAATTAGTGGAATGTGTTATTGACCACTGATAAATTTGGTGCAGAAAAGGTTTCTAATGTGTGATCAAATCACTGTTGATACATTTGATTAATTACATTAAACAAAAAGCATTTTGATTGTTACAGGACTCTGGGAAACTATTAACTGTGGTGATGAATATAATTTTGTTTGTAAGCGAAGTCAGTCACCTCCAGTGAACACCACAGTGGCCCCTACACAACAGCCAAAAGGAGGCTGTGCTCCTGAGTGGAAAAGCTTCAAAGGAAAAGTAATTATATTCTAAAATTATTAAAAATATATATATAATAATATAATAAATATTATAATTATAATAATGTGTTATAATTATACCTTCAAGTTTTACATGTAGACATTTTTAGTGTTTATGTAGTTTTTGTCATTGTGATTAAACAGTTCTGCATCAGATTGTTCTATAGCTCAATGAAATTAACATGTTTCACAGCAGAATCAGATCTCACTGAATAAAGCTGCGCTTATTACAAAAAATTTTAGTTGCATTGCTGTAATAGATTTTCCAATGCAACATTTGTGAAATTGTGTCATGATCTATATTTATGACAATTCATTTTTAGAAGAAAATAAATAATGGTCATTTATATAACACATTATAGTGCTACAACATGAAGGAAGACATGAAAACATGGACAGAAGCGAGAGGATACTGCAGAGAGCTTGGTGGAGATCTGGCATCTATTATAAGTAGACAACAACAAGGTAAAAGCTTTGTGATATTTCAATTAATGAATTAGACAAGAGATTTCAGCACTGCTCAAAATTAAAATAGATTAAAATGTGACATTATTCTAGAACTGCTGTATCGTGATTAGAAAGATTTTTTATGTATTGTTGTTATTATTATTATTATTATTTTTAGCTATGCACTTTGACTTGATCATTATCAGACACTGTATGTTTTATTTATTACATCACATTTGCTGCAGCCTTTTTAAGCACAATGATTAGAGAGAAAACCACAGACTTATGGATTGGATTCAGCAATTTGGCAAGCATGAGGTTCAAGTGGACAGATGGGAGTAAAGTTACATTCACCGAGTGGGCCAAAGGAGAACCTCAAACCTATGTATGGGCATTTATAAGTGTTTAAAACATTTTAAAACATTTGCAGCTTAATAAATTCCACGTTTAACCTGAAGATGTTTTGGTATGACTATGGACTGTTTATATATTATATAAATTTCTTTTAATTTTTTTCCACTCAGTGGCATTCATACTATTGGACAAAATATCACTATTCGGATGAACAGGTATACCCTAATAAGTGGAGATTATAACGGAATAGTATTGTTTTTATTGATAAAAGTAGTGGCTTTAATAGATGTTTCTTTTTCAAGCAGGAATGTGTTTTTATGGGCAAGGGTTCAAGCTCTGACTTTGGCAAGTGGGTGGCAACTGACTGTAATTCTACTCACGGTTTTATCTGCAGTCGCGATGTTGGTGAGTTTAGCTGAACACAGTGGACTTGCAGAGAAATTGTTGATATTTTGCAGGCTTATACCATTCTTCATATTTCGATTCCATTGTGTCACTTTTCACATGTTCAGATCCTGGTATTGCCCCAGTGCCAACTGGAGTTCCTAAAACCTTTGTCAAGCTTGGAAATTCATCTTTCAAAGTGATTCAAGAGAACCTAACGTGGAGTGACGCAAACCGTCGCTGTGAGGCAGAGGGGGCTCATCTGGCCAGCATTCGGGATTTGATAACACAAGCTTACCTTGAGTTGCAGGTCTATAGGGCCAAACAGCCCATGTGGATCGGTCTCAGCAGTACACAGGTACTGCACCGGAGTGAGAAACGGAAAGTCATGGCATTGCAATTAATAGGAATATTCAGTCATCCTTATGAGTTTCTTTGTTCTGTGGAACACAAAAGGAGATGTTTGGGAGAATGTACAGGCTGCTCATTGCCATACAATGAAAGTGAATGATTACTAGGGCAGTCAAAATCCAAAAAAGGACATATCTTAAAAGTGCCATAGAGATGCTCAAGAAAGTCATTTTACGTTGAGCATTATGTGGAAACAAATGTAATGGCGTGGTTTTCTAAATTAGTCTTTTGAAAACGAACTCTATAAATCCTACTTTTCTGTGTGTTTGATGATGACTCCACATAATCTACAAATTGTATATTTGTATTCAACAGACAAAAGGATATTTTCTATGGGCAAATAACTGGCCAATGAATATGGAGAAATGGGCACCTTCTGAACCACGGCCCAACCGTCCTTGTGCATACATGGACATAGATGGAGAATGGAAAACAACTCTCTGCAATCAAACCTACTACAGTGTCTGTGAGCAAACAACAGGTGAGATACAAGTGTGTGTGTGTGTGTGTGTGTGTGTGTGTGTGTGTATATCTCAAAATACAGCAAATAATTATGGATACTGTATCGAATTGTTCAGATTTTTAGAATGCATTAGAAAGGTTATTTTCCATCAACTCCTGTACACAAAGCTTTCCGTATACATGACACCCACCAGGAAGTCAAAACAGTATTTAAGTATTTTCAAATAGCAATATTTAAATATTTTCAAATATTCCATTTTTTTTAATATTGCCAGTAAGTTTTATTTTCCTCCACCAAATAAAATAGTTCCAAACTAAGCCATAGTCATACTGTCGGTCATGCATCTCAGTGTTATGAACAAATTGGTTGAGTGAATGATTCTGTTACTCACCGGTCACTTGTATTGTTTCTAAATGAATAAGTGTTTTTGATTGAACTGGCTGAATCATTGAGTCCATATCTTAATTATAAAGACTTTTTGCCACCTACTGGCATACAAATGTAATCCACAGAAAGAGTCAGTAAAAATGCAGTCTATCTTTTACATGCAAACAGTGTTGCGATACAAACAGGTAAAAGCCTCGGTACTCAGTTCTTGATGCAACACACATCCAATCATATTCCACACTGAATGGATAATACTTCTTGTATCAGCTTGGTAAACACTATTTCCATGCGACGTTCTCCACAGACATTCCCCCGGCAATTCCAGCACAGCATCCTGGGCACTGCCCACAAGAAGATGATGACAGTCCAGTGAGGTGGATACCTTTCAAAGACAGCTGCTATGCTTTTGTGATGGACCAGAAATCATGGAGCAGAGCAGCTAGACTCTGTATGACATGGGGTAAGGATCTAAAATTGATTTAAAAAGCTGTTTACTTAATTACACGACAGGTGCAAAGAACAAAAGAGTAACAACGTTTGCATTTTGGTTTTCAGGAGCATCTCTTGTCAGCATTAGGGATATAGAGGAACAGAAGTTTATAGAGAACAACCTCATGCTCATTGAAAGTTACAAAGACTTTTGGATTGGACTTTTCCACACCCAGAAAGGTAATGCGCCAAATATACATTCACATACAGGAACCTCTTCTGTTCAACACTTTTCCAGTGTCCCCGAGTTTTCACATTATTAGTGGTTGAACTCATGGGCCTTAAGGGGTTGGGTACATATGATCTCACCCTGGGTTATCTAACTACACAGGACACTGGTTATGGTCAGACAATACCGTGGTGGATTACACTAACTGGGCAACTGTGAATGATTATGAAGATGACGATCAAGAGCATTCTTGGAATCCTGACTGTGCATTAATCTCTTCCAAAACTAAAAAATGGAAAAAACAACATTGTGATTACTCTGCCTTATCATTTATCTGCAAAACCGCCAAAGGTACGTATTGTTGTCAGAGAAACACAGGATTATGTCTTATTAACTAATATGCTGGTTTCAAACACCTAATTCAAACCTGTCTTGTGAATTCAGTCTTGTTAGGTGACACAATAAAACCAGTTTGTTTCAGTATTTTACTGTTTAAATCTTCCTGAAAATTCATTATATATCCTATCAATTTTTAAATACAAGTATGTTGTGGAAGATGTCATTTTTCCTTTTATTTTAGACATTAGACATTCGTATTTCATAAAAATATTTTCTTCTCAAAAGACGGTAGGTCCACATATTGTGAGAATTTACCCTATATTTAGAAATGGATTTTGGGAAGAAAAAAATAAAAATAAAAAAATAAAAAAATAAATATATATATATATATATATAGAGAGAGAGAGAGAGAGAGAGAGAGAGAGAGGGATTTGTGACATGATCGATAAGATATGCTTAAAATGAATGTTTAAAGAAAAGGGGAAATAAAACACCAACATTTAACATTTATCAATCTATTTATCTATAACATTTTATAGACAGATGTTACATTCTTTGTTTTGAAAAATACCTGATTTTTTTTCCTGCAGTAATAAGTCCAACCACTAAGGCCCCACAAGAAGGTAATATTATGTCTTATCCTTAATGCCTTTAGTTTTTTTTTTTGTCAAGAAATATTCAAAAATCGAATTTTATGTCAAGAAAACAGCAACCGCTCTACTTTCAAATGGACTTATACAGTTTGATATAATGTGTATATCACAGTTTGACACTAGATAGTTTCTCTTATTATTTTTACCTCTTATTTCTTCACAGGTCCTGAGCCTCACAAGGTCAATACGGGTTTGGCTGTGTTCTTGAGTATTGCAGTGATCAGCATATTGGGAGCTCTGGCTTTCATGTACTACAGAAGTTCAAAAAGACAGTTATTGCCTACATTTGAAAATCCCATGTATAATAACAGAGATGCTGCTTATTCAGATAGTAAAGATAACAAAACATTGATTGGCAACATTGAGATCGCTGAATAGAACTGTGTTTTATAATGTCCCATTACTTGTATGTAAGAGACGGTCAGCCGATTATTATCATGAAATAAAAAACAATGACAGGGCTCATCAGGTTTATTTTGCGATAATGGCTGTATGTTATTCTGTTTACTACATGGCTACTCACCAAATAACTATTAATTTGGGTAGAAAATATTTTATGTTAGAAGAAATGTAGCAATGTTGAAACCAGTTGTCAATTACACAGTTCAGCACTCATTATGCCAAAAATGTGCGCCGCTTCAGAATGGTGCAAATGACCAGTCAGAATCAAATATTCCAAAGAATCATCTGGAATCAGTGGGTTTAATATGGCATTGCCACTTTTTTTGGAAGGGGTTTTCAGACTGTCTTTGAGTTTTTTAAGTTTTTGAATAAGCTGAATAAGAATTGGCTCTAAATAAATAGTTACACTTTGATATATCTGTTTTTGAGCAAACCACCAATTACACACCAACTGTGCAGTGCAGTTTAAGCATGGAAAAATTGTCATTTTTTGGAGTGCAGTGCCAAAAAATAGGATAAGATGACGTGTAAAGGTTAGCTGACATAGCAGCATTTGGAGTATGAGGACAGTGTTGGAACCAAATTTAGCTTTTCCATTTTTAGTTTCAGAAAATGTTATGCTCTCTTTGAATTCAGTGGCAATTTCAACCATTAGGAAATTGTAGTTTTTCCTGAAACACATTCAAATATAGAAGTGTTAAATTCACTTTTTTCCAGAACTGTACTTATTTTATATTTATACTGAATCTGTGCTCAAAAAAATCCTTCATAATATTGGTAACACTTTACAGTATGGTTCGTATTAGTCAACATTAATGCAGTAACTAACAGTAAGCAATACATTTCTTTCAGTATTTATTATTAATATTCATTCATTTTAGGTAATAAAAATACAATTGTTAATTGTTAGTTCATGTTAGCTCAGCCATTAAATAATATTAACAGATAAAACTTTTACATTATTAAAATTAAAAGTTGAAATGAACATGCTTTAGAAGTATTTTTCATTGTTAATGTTAACTAATGTTAACAAATTGAACCTTACTGTAAAGTGTTACTATAATACACAATGAGGTGAATGAACAATGAGAGCCACATCTGGGAAAACAATGCATGAAAACATCAAAAGGTCAATCTGACGTGCGCATTATTTGTTTAGGAGAACATTTCAAAGACAATATACAGTCAGACCAACTGAATACAGAAGGACATCTCTATTACAGTGCAGCAGTATCTGTACTCAGTTTTATCAATCCAGTATCTACAAAGGCATTTATGAGGTATATACAAATGCATAGAAACAATTTTCAAGCTATAGTGTTGTCACAAACTAATGCATAGAGTACTCAGGAAACATCAGGTGTAAATAAACATCGTGATTCCAGATGCATTAAGAATATGAACAGATTTGAGTGCTTTTAATTTCATTGCCATCTTCCTCTTTTCATTTGTAACAAAACTGGAAACAAATCTTTTACCATGCTGTTGTAATAAAATAGGTATTTTCTGAATCATTGTACTTATTTCTCTCAGGACATTTGTGTGTGCCTTTTTACTTTATGAAGATGAAAGTAACGATTAAGGAAAAAAATGATCAATTCGATATACATACTGTATATATTTAAACAAACCTTTTGAAAAAACATAATTACATGCAGCTGGTTGGCTAAAACTGATCACATTGTATATATTATAAATATGGAACAGAATGAAACTGTTCATAAACATTAAAAATTGTTCAGTTGAAATAATTTTGCGAGCAAACAACACATAGTATGGCTCCAGAGTTGATTTTACATGACTATGTTATCAAGCTAAGCTCTTTGTATTGAAACAAATGATCCTTCGTATGAAATTCATTGAATAAAATTTTAAATGATTTTTGTGACTACAAAACCAGGCCACAAACTAAACACTGAACTATGTATACATTAAAGCTAACATGAAATTGAAGTATGTAAATAAAAATTGTTTTTCATCTCACTGAATATTCTGTCCCTCTGAAATGTGTCAAATTATAGAAAATAGGCTGCAAACAGTAATTCATGCTGACTTAAAACCGAAGTTTGTAATTGCTCTTAGTAGTGTGGAATTATAAAACAATGACTTTTTCAGAAAAGGTGTCTTAAACACTCCCCCTATCTGCCATTGGCCAGACAAATATATAGTCATGCCTCCAAACCTATGTCATTGGTTGAGCCACGGTTGCTGTCAGGCTGGTTGAGCTGGTGTGTGTTGTGCCACAGAGCTACAATGTTTATACTTTTCAGTTAAATCAACCAACAAACTTCTTGTCCCTGTGTTTTAAACTAGCATAAGAGAAAATATTTTACATCCAAAATATCCACCTTATTTTTTAACATTTTCCTGTGAATGTGCGAGACTTTCGATTCATTAGGCAAGATAGGTAAGTAACAAACTAAAAAAGTGTAGCAAAATTATTTAAAACTAAAATTTCCTTGTGCTACGAATCAGTGCATTTATGATTATGTTAATTAAAATAATATGATAACAAATACCAGTTTGCAATATTAAGCAGCATAACAAATTGTTTTTGAACAGCTAAAATAACGGGAAGCAAATGACATTGGAAGCCTTGCACATTTCAATTGCAAATGGAAGCAGCATTCCTGTTAAAAATAAGGTGGACAAATTTTTTATTAAAAAATGACTAGACTAGACTGTCATTGTTTGTAAAAAAAAAAAGACCTTCCAATCCTTGAGGTGAAAAGCCCAAGACAACCACCAAAGGGTTCTTTAGTGTGCCTAAATTTCATGCAGCCAATAGCAGCACAATGTGAATGCACAATTAAAGGTGACATATCATGAAAATCTGACTTTTTCCGGTTTTAAGTGCATCACCGGTGCATCTACCAACCCAGGAAACGTGAAAAAGATTAACCCAGTATCTTTGTGTTGGTAAGCCTTTTTCTGCAAGCGTCTGAAAAAACGAGCGCGTCAGATTTCTCTCCCTTTGTGATGTGACAAAGGGATCTTATTATAATATCACCGCCTCTTTATCTGCACGTTTCCACTCACGGCGCCGCCATTCTTGTTTTCGCAGGCGACAACGGTGTACCAGTTCTAGCACCATGGCAAAAGTTCGAGCAAAGCATGTTAACTGTTCTATCGATAGCTGCACAGATGAGCACAGAACACTATTTAGAGTTCCAGCCTCAGAGGAGACAAGAGAGCAGTGGATTTATTTATTTACTCTATATTATGCTGCTGCCACACAGATCTAATATAAACATGCAATTTCTTTCCCAGCTGTTTACCTTCACAGACATAGACTGATTTTGTAACTCATGTGTTTTTAACATAAACTTTTGTGTATTTGACCTTTAAGTGCAATAAGACATGAAAGATAACTTAGTTTAGTACTTACGTG